TTCTGGTAAAGTGAACAGATGAACTCATTAAATCTCACAATTGGACAATTTCTCTTTTCATTAAGTCTTTTGGTTTTTTTTCTGAACATTTTCCAATTTTCCAGCAGCCCCTATAAAATATATGGTGCAGACCTGTGGAAAGAATTCCAGAGTGGCTACAGTTGATGCTACCAACACATTTCAGTACTTCCTTAGACTCAGTTCTCACTGTTCTCTGTTAGCTTATTAACGTATCAGGTTGACTTGCTTGTCCATTATGACTTCTGAATTGCTCCCAAGGCTATTGTTTTCCCTGTTCGTTGTCACTAAACTGATAGCTTTATAATATACATTAAGTGTAATTTGTTTGAACGGATCCAAGTTAATGATCTTCATCTGTTTATACAACTGCTCTGCCTACATTGTTAATTCCCCTTTACCAACCTTTGCATCATAAACTTTGTCATCTGATACTCTTCTATTTCCTTTCCTACCATGAAAATATTGAACAGTATCAGCCCATCACCGCCCCCTGCATTTTACATGCCACCATTTGATAATGATACAGAGATAAGTACTGCAGAGATTCACAACTGCCAGTCAGCCTTCAGACAAAACAACCCAGACTGTATTCTTGTTACAGAAATGCTTCTCCCTAAAACCTGAGCATGCTACTAAAAATACTATGCAGGCATCAATGTTTGTCTTTGCATCAATTCAGTTGCCTTTGCCAAGTCTGTAACTTCTTCCAAAGATGAGGATCAAATTCCTCACTAGAAGTCCTGCTATTGAGGAAATGAGAATATGCAAACCTAAGAGAAGCAGTAAATACAGGAATTCATTTACATCTTACTTGCCAAAGCACTGTTATAGACATAAAAAATGGTTCGGATCAAAAAAGTTCTTTCATGGTAGCACTCCTACTTTGTGCACCTGACACATGTGTGAAACAACAAAGAAAGAACTTAGCCTATATCAACTGGCATCATATTCACTCTGTCACATCAGAGAATGGCATTAGTAAGAGCTCATACTATGTACAAAAGCCACATGCACCAAGCACTACACAAATCAAGGAGATAAAGGAAACAAACCAGCTGCTCTGTGCAGCCATAGACAGAAGTTTCCATATGTCAGCCACCAAAACAACACCATGTTCTTGCAAAGCAAGACAGAGAAGAAATTATTTACCTGTGCCTATTTCAGTTTGACTAATGCATGGTTTTATGTATTCACCATGGTCCCTACTCCTTAGAGAATAAATTAATCAACATAACATATGGATTTTCACTGTAAGTGAAACTGACAGCTTTTCTTTGCAGATGAAGAGCTGGCTTTGGACGTGGCAGAACTGGGCACAAACCACCACAGTAACTCTGCCAGAACTGTAAGCCAAGCCAAGCATAGTGTCTCTTTCATTTTCATTTCCATATAGAAAGCTGTATGTTCCAACCTGTAATTACAATTCTGCCAGCTGTTTGAATCAGACAGCGAGGATGTGTTTAAACTGCTGATGTTGATAAGCCATTTTAATGTCATTCTGAATGGAGTAAAGTACCCAATATAAGCTGTGTAATCTGCCTCAGTATCTTGGAGATAAAATAGATGAGATAGCATGATTTAAAAGGAAAATATAATCCCTTTGAGGGATCCAAATCATAAAACGCCAGTGTTGTCACTGGTAGAACCCCAGGATGTACTGTAAATAACTGAGATTTCACAGCAAAAATATTTCTCTTTGTTTTACAGTGTGTGAATCCATCATTTATTTCACACAGTCAGAGGAAAATAAAAGGTTTAAAATGACAATAGTTACATAAGAAATGAAAACAGTGGCAAAGGAGTCACTTGAAATGGAAAACATATTTAGACTTGGATTTTCTAACACGGGATGAGTACAGGTCTCCACTTCGAATAGGACCTAAGTCTATATTTAGGCATCAGCTCTCACTTTGACTTAAGCTAAACAGTTCAGTTTTTTGAGCATTGGGACTTAAGGAACTTCAAGTCTTACACTGTGTTCAAAGCCAGCAGGTCAAGGGTTCCTAAATGCCTCAGTCATGTATGAAATTGGGATTTCAGCTTCTTCATAGTTCTGGTACTTTTGCAAAACGTCTGTGTTTCATCAGTGTTTATCAGTGTACATCCTTCAAATTTGTGATCAAAAGCCCTCTGTATACATCAAGGTTTCACTAGCATGGAGTCAGACTCACAGTCAGTAACAACCATCCCATGGGAATTTTGTCCCCTTACAAATCCTAACTAAAATACTAACAACTGGCTTGTCAGAACGCATTCCACCCAGCAGAAATAAAATGCCGTACTATACAGTTATTGGAATCCATCCACTATGATTAGATCAATACATTAAGACTCTGAGCTGTCAGGTCAATAGTTTACAATTTTTTTCTTACTATATAGCTTTATTACAGCCATCTGTAGATATAATGCAGTAGTGTAACATCACACAGAGAAACTGTTGGGGAAAAGGAAAAAGATAAAGACAATATAATGAGAAAAGGATGGTATTTCAGCACCAAATATCTCAATCCTGCAAATTCACAAATTCTCTGGCATTCTCACTGTCGCTAAGTAGACTGTACACACAAGTCTTAGGATGTGAGCGCTGTCTGTGAAAAACCCGTGTGTATGACAATTACATTATTTTGATTTTAAGATACTAGCATATATTTTTTTTAGTGTAACTGTAAACATTTGTGATGTTTCCAGTTGGCTGTGATTTCACAATATGAAGCTCATACTACAGCAGACAGCTTATAATCACTTGTTGTTTTGCTTCCTGAGAACAGAAGTTAAATTTTTTTCTACAGGTACATATTGCAGTTTTTCCTATAACAATTTCAGTAACAGCTGAAAGAATATCTAGCCTGCTTATGCCTCTGAACAATTTGAAGTCAAACATCTGAACCTTCTTCCTCTGGGCAGCACCCAGGAAACAAATTGACACTGAGAGCCTGGAAGGTTCTGTCTGCAAGGCTGTGAGATGGGGGTCTGTCTCTTGTCTCTTACCGCAGATTTCCTGCAACCTTGATGGATTGCTTCATCTTTCTTTTCATATCAGTTTTGTATCTCTGAGGATAATCCATGCTTCCCTTCCTGTTTTCTGTTTTGCCTTTATTTCAACTTCTGCGAGATCAAAGCTGTCTTATATGCCTTCACATATGACTCTGCTTACTGGTGCTCTGTGTTACTATAATACAGAGCTCACCAGCATTGGTCCCTGAGTTCTGCCAGTTAATAAACACTTCAGATTCAGTAGGAAGTTCTGCTTTGCACTGATGGGAGAGACATTCCTTGCATTGTGTGAATGTACAAAACAAAGGCTGAGAAGGGATATGAGCACTCTCTATAAATACAACCTGGAGGTAAACACCAGAGGAGGAAAAGAACTATTTTAAGGAAAGGGACAATGTAATCCCAAGAATAAATGGCTGTGAATCTGGTTAGGAAACTAGAAGGACTGGGCAGAGTAAGAGGTTCCCAGCTTCCTGGAGGAATAGCAGGAAAGCTACCTAAAATGATTTAATTTGATGCAGTGATAAAAGGAGTAATGTGGCCTTGTGATCTGCAACAGTGGATATTGCTTTTAGTAATGAAGGTAATAACATTCAGCCCTATACTCCGAAGAAAGAAAACTGCTAATAAAATTTCAGTTTACAACTGAACTGATACTCCTTGCACTGTTCACCCACTGAGATCAGACAAGATGAGAGCTGCTTTTTTTTAATATAACAGAGAGATGAAGAAAGAGTGGGTGGTTGGAGCATCACGGCTAAGACAATTTTGGTTGGCTTGCTTAACCCTCAGATGAGTTCATCTTCTTGGGATGGACTGAGTTCAGTCCAGACAGGATCAGGAAACAGAATAGAAATGTCACCACCTTCAGATAGGAAAGTGCCCCACTCCCAACTCAAAGGGGAACAAGAGTCTTTCTATATCAACTCAGAGCAGCAGTATGACATGCTGATACAACTGCAGAGGACTGACTTTGAGCCTAAACAATCCTTTCTAGTACTGTATTCCTGTGCTGTGGCAAACAGTGATTCACAGTTTCCCAGCATACGACAGTGCTAAGGTAAAGCACCTAACTGATATCTCTGGACCTCAGGTTACATCTGTGCAAGTGAAGTGCCCAGCAATAGTCCCTCCCAGGAACAAGGAAACATGGTGAAACAATTTAGGGCTAAAACAAAAAACGACTATTTCTCTTCATCTCTAAACAACATTAGATTTTTCTAACAAGTTCTAGAGTTAGCAGTAATGATTTCCCAGATTGTTAGATTTTTTACATGCATGCCTCATCCCTGAAAACCAGAAACAGTTAGTGGAAAATGTAAAGCTTCCCCCAGTTTTCTAGTGATTTCTTTTAATTGTTATCTGTTAATGGTCTTGCTTTAGCAGTTGTTTCCTCCTGATCATGTCTCACCTTCCCAGTTTCTATCAGGGAAACGATCTCAGAAATTAAGAGAAAGGAGGAAAGGACTGGGCTTGCCTTAGAGAGAAAATTGTATAGAAATAAACCCACCAAAACAGGCAAACAAACGAAAAAAAAAAAAAACCCAACCAAAAAACCAACCAATATCTCCCCAAAATCCAATTTCCAAAGGAGAGCCGCAGAAAATTTCCTAGAGGCATTGTGAAGGACTGAGCGTGTCCGAAGGGGAACGGGCGCAGCGCCACTTCCCTCGGCAAGCACAGCCCCCCGAGCCCCTGCCCCTCCACGGCTCGCGGCCACCCTGGCGGAGCCGGTAAGGGGGCACGGACAGCCCGGGGCGCGCCGTGTCTCGCGGGGAGCCGGAGGGGCACCCACCGAAGCGCAGGGAAGTGGAGGGCCGGCCCTGGACGCAGGGTGCCTGCCCGGGGGATGCCATCCCGGAGGCAGAGCCCCAGAGAAATGCTGTGCGAGGGAAGGAGGGTCCCGGTGCCATAGGAAGGATGCCCGGCCCCAGGGAAAAGATGCCCGGACGCGGAGAGCCGTGCCTAAGGAGCCGCACACTTACCGGTGTTGTTCATCTTCCACCCCAACTTCCCTCGCTGGCTGCCCCGGGCGCTCAGAGCATGGTCCCGGGGCCGTCACCGCCCTCGCTCCTCACGAACGCGCCCGGCGCTAGAGCCCCTCTGGGGGCATGGGAGCGCGGGCGGGGCAGCTGGACCCGGCGCGGCGGGCTGGGCAGGCAGCACTGCCGGCTCGGGGGCGGTCAGCGCCGCGGCGCGCCTCCGCCCTGCTCCGCGTGCAGCCCGTCGAGGGGCGGCGGCCGGCGCCGGCGCCCCGCACAGCAGGCAGCGCGCGGAGATAGGCCAGGCGGGGCCATTCCCTGCGGCGGGACGAGCCCCTGGATTACGCGGGGTGCGGGCGGGGTGCGGGCGGGGGCGAGCGACGCGGAGCTGATGCCGAAGGGCGCAATAATTTAAAGACGCAGCGGGTTGTCCTCCTCCCGCACCCTTTTCTTTTGCCCTCCCTTCTCCTCAGTTTGGTGTTCCCCACCCCCTTTCCATTCCCCTCAATCCTTCTTTGTACACCCCTTCGCCCATTTTCCCTCCTCTCTTTCACTCTCCTTCCTTTTTTTTCCCTTACCTCCCACCCTCCCCCCTCACCCTCTCGTCTCCCCACTTCCCTCCCTCTACTAGCTCCCTTCCTCCCCTCACTCCCATCATCCACCCATCCATCCATTCTCCTCCCCCCCCCTTTTTCTTTTCCCCCTCGTCAGCTTTTTCTTCCTATCTGTCTTTCCCTCTGACTCCCCCGTTCACCTCCCTTGGTTCCCCATGGGACAGGACCGTTCCCCGCCTCAGAAAACTGGGGGAAGAAGGCTCGGAGAAGTCGCCCCCAGTCCGGCCCCGGCGCGGGGGTTTTCCCCGGATTGAAGAGCATCCCTGCGGAGCCAGCAGCACCTGCTGCTGAAGGCTTATCTAGGAGCAGTGGAGCCCTAGTCCATCCCTCACATACAAACCGTGCTTGCTCAGAGCAGTTTCAGACGGCACCAGGTGGTTGTCTTTTTCCCCTCTCCCATAGAACAGCTTCCAGCTCAATGAAGTTAACAGTCATGCTGTGTCTGGGCACTTCTCCCTGGTAAGTAGTGGTAACCCCCAGAAAAGGTTGGATTGCTCCTCTACTCTCAATAAGGGCTTGATATAGTCCTGCTACCCTTCCTACTGGTGCCATCATTGCTCACACAAGAAATTATAAGATTCCAAATTTCCCTCCTCTGGTAGAGAAACTCCAGGACAACTGGTTGAGAGATGCAATTTTCTTGCTCTGCATTGCACTGGTGCAGCCGCACTTCAACACTGTGTCCCATTTTGGGTGCCACAGTACAAAAAGGACATAAAGCTATTAGAGTGTCCAAAGGAGGGCTACAAAGATGGTGCAGGGTCTAGAGGGGAAGATGTTTGAGGAGTGGCTGAAGTCCCTCTGTTCAGCCCAGAGAGGAGACCTCATGGTGGCCTATGGCTTCCTGACGAGAGGGAGCAGAGAGAGACATTGATCTCTTCTCTCTGCTTACACCGATAGAGCCAGAGAAAACAGCATAGAGCCGTGGCAGAGGGCAGTCAGGCTGAATAACAGGAAAACATTCTTTACCGAGAGGGTGTTTGGGTGCTACAAGAGCCTCCCCAGGGAAGTGGTCATGACACCAAGCTTGCCAGAGTTCAAGAGATGTCTGGACAATGCTCTCAGACATATGGATCTGATTTTTGGGTGGTCCTGCACGGAGTCAGGAGTTATATTCATGATTCTTATGGATCCCTTCAAACTCAGGATATTCTATAATTCTATGACATCTGAGCAAGCATTTGAAATCCCATATGGTTTGGGATGTACACAAATTCACAGTAGAAACGCTTTTATTATGACTTTGAGTTAGAAAAGGAGATGGACGTGCCTGTGTCTTTACGCCTTCATAGTGTAGCATGCCTTGTGCACGTCCAGGTGCATGGAATGAAATGGACTTTCCTGGCTCACTTATGGCCAACAGTCATCATTTTCCCCCACCGTCATGTATTGGTCCCTCATTTATTCCTGCTACCTGCAGCTTTGATGCCTGTATCAGTCAATACAAGTATCAACAGAAAGTATTTTGTGAAGCAGCTTTCAGGAATACAGTTCTGTGTTGTTGCAATGTATGGGGAAAAGTTTATATGAAACAATGGAAAAGAAACCACAAGTAGAAAAAAATAAATCACATGACAGATTATTTGAAAAAATTGCCTTCAAGTATGTTTTCCAGGAGAACAGCTTTTCAGTTATACATGTAAAAAATAATAATGCACTGGGGGGAGGGGGCAGCAGGAAGGAAAGAAAACGTGTTTATAGAAAAACTAAGAATGTGAATCTCAGGGATTCTCCTGAGAATTTGAAAAACAGTCTAAGTAATAAGGTTTTCTCATATCTGGAGCTGGATACATAATGGATAAATGTTGGTTAGGTATTAATAGCAAAACAAAGCCTTTGGGGGAAAAAAATAAGCAAGTAAACCATGTGATCTTATAGTTCTTGTACTGTTTCTAATATTCTTCACTCAAAATCCTTTTTTTGGTCTGCTACAGGGCAAAGAATGAAGATACTTTTTAGTTTGTGATGAGAACTACCATTGCTCCATTTCCTGGAGCAATGAATTACATTTTTTTCCTCACTCCTGAGCTGGGACTTAATGACAAGGAGGCAACTCCTGCTTCTGGCATTACATCAGTAGCTCAGAGCCTGGCTGAGAGCAAGCATTGCTAATTGTTAATTCTGTGACACTGCTCTTGGAAGAGCTGAGTGCTTCTCACAAGTTGCTGCTTGTCCTCATATCTGACTTCTTCCACAAAGGGCAGGGTGCCTGGGTACCTTCAGGAGTCACTGACTCCTCTCTCTCAATCAGATCTGATTCATTTGAACTTTGAATTGATTTGTGTTGGTTAAAAATGCAACATTTTTATGCAACACTCTCTTAGAGACACTGCACTGTACACCAAGAAATGTATTCTTAAGCAGTTCACAGTAATTTTGGACACTATGCTTGATGGGCAACTAAGCTACAGTTTGGGCACAGAGATAAAGAAACAGACATCTATGCAGCTATCACTATATTTAAAAGAAACCTAAAGTACATTTACTAAGCAAAAGACTTATGTTCTCTTTATTGTCAGTCTAGAAGACAATTCAAAGTGTAATTTCTTATATTAACATGATGAAAAGCATTAGGACCCCTACACCTAAATGCAGATAACAAGATATAACATCTGCTTGAAAGTTGCCATTTTATCCTCTGTCTTAAAAAATAATGGGAAAAATCAACACATCCATTTCCATTACTCAAATAGTGAAACAAATATATTTTTAAAAATAATTCTGATTTTTAATAATGACTTTACAAAGTATTTCCTTCAAAATACAATACAAATATCTATTTAATTTTTGATGACTTGTTAAACTTCGGTGAACTGTATGAGCTTGTAGGTCCCGATCCAGTAGGTCATTTAAGTACATGCTTAAATTTGTGCAAGTGGTTAATCCATTTTAAGCAGTGCTACTCCATATATTTACGTGCTAAAGTATATCAGAGCACGTAATCTAGCATGTTAGAATCTTATTTTTTAATCACTGAAACATAAACCAGCACTCTACTTGCCATCTTAACGAAGCTCTAGAGACTCCATCTATCATACTACACTACCTATGCATCCTAATTATTATTTTTCAGCCTTTTAATGTTATCACACAGAGATCACAGAATCACAGAATCGTAGGGGTTGGAAGGGACCTCCAGAGATGATTGACTCCAACCCCCTTGCCAAAGCAGGATCCCTACACCAGGTCGCACAGGTAGGCATCCAGGCGGGTCTTGAATATCTCCAGAGAAGGAGACTCCACCACCTCCCTGGGCAGCCTGTTCCAGTGCTCCGTCACCTCACCTAAAGAAGTTCTTGCGCACATTGGTGCAGAACTTCCTATGCTCCAGCTTCTGGCCATTTCCCCTTGTCCTGTCTCCGCACACTGCTGAAAACAGTCCGGCCTCGCCACTTTGCCCCCCACACCTCAGATATTCATAGACCTGGATCAGGTCCCCTTTCAGTCTTCTCT